TTCGAAAGAAGTAAATCTGTCTTACTCTACAAAAAAAGACAATAAAGCGCGGGGAACAGATGTCCAAAGCCAAAGAGAAATAGACCAGAAGCAAATCAGAGCTAGATCAAGGACGGATCAGAGCTTGATTCCAGATAGTTTGAAGGCAGATCAGAGGAAGAAACAAGGTAGACCGGTATTAGAAGAATGATAGACCAAAGATATTTCGAGGGCACAACGAAGGGAGTGGAAGAATGGGTCAAGAATGGATCAAATATATATTTTAGCACAACAGCTGTGTCAGAGTGCAGATGGCGGATAGGAGGCTGTAGTGATTATTTCTACTTTTGTCCGCACGCTAAATTCGGTCTATGTTTACAGCTAAGGGATGAAACAAAGCGCATCCTAACGTATTTTCTTGCACATGACGCTTAGTCCAATTTTTTGTTCTGTTATTTCATAAGTGCCTTTTTCGAGCTCGTTTCTAGCAGATGGTCCACTGTACTCATTCCCACTTGTTCTTGTGAACAAAAAATTTAATGTTTAATGGCGGAAACTGATATCACAATCGATGGAGAAAACACAGAAATTGAAACAAAACTGTCTCGTTTGCAAGTGTACAAAACTGAGATCGGTGCTTAAACGCTATCTCACTTGCTTTTGCCCTTCCTGGTTTTCTCTTGACGCTTTCTCGCGACGAGATCGTCGTACTCCTTGATAAATGATATAATATCAGCATTTTTCAACAATAAATCTTCGGCCAGTAAGATCTCGATTACCATACGGTAGATAAACAAGTACTGCTATAAGCATGTTCAGTGACTATTCAGCAGTAAATGCTCTTTTTTTTAACGTATTGGATGCGTACTGCTCGTAAACGAAGCGAGACTGGACTGATTTCAGTCACTCAGATCATAATTTTTATGCATTAATTTCCGCTAACTTAAAAATAAGTGCTTCCCCGCCTCAGATTAGCCGATGCGATCATGATTTTTGCAGAATTTCGTGTAGCAGTAAAGTCTCTAATAGTAAGAACCTTCAGTGTTCCTCAGTTTCACACGTTACTCATGTTGGAAATGTTCATTTAAGTCTTTTCTTCCATGTTCGGGGAAGAGAGCCATCCGCTGAGAATGTGGGGTTGTATTACGGAGCATCAAAAAATGTTACAATTTGGTGCTGCTAACTGGTGCGCGTTTTCCAAATGCTTCATTCAGTTATTTTTTAATATAATTTTATATTTTGCATGCATCATAATTAAAGACTCTGTTATAGCATTCAGCCAATACGTATTTGCAGTATTTTTCCAGTGCGTGTTTTCCATGCTTTTAAATTTAGGCTATTTATGTTCAGGACAAAAGGAGAACTTTAAAAAAAAAAGTTTCATCCAGAGCCTTTTTTTGCTGTTTATTGCTTTTAGTTTGCCCGTTCACCACTTCAGTGAGCGCATTTTCAGACCTGACAGACCGTACTTGCTGCTGTTGGATAATTATGCAGGTATCTGACTAGTACTCCTCTTTTGCCTTAATGCGCAACACTCTTAAGATAGAACATCCATTTAGAGAACAGTGGTAACACTCTAAGAACCAGTGAAAAGTGCGTTTTTCTGGACAAACGGTTGCATGCAGTAAACTTTTACGACTATTTAATACCTAAGTTCAGAGTTAGTATAATTGAAGCAAGCACGTTGAGTCCCACGACGACTCCCTGGTGTTTATGATCAGGTGAGGCTCTGCCAGCATTCTACGGTCTTATATATGCAAAGATGTGCTGTCCAAGAGATACGGAGTACTGTGTTGGGGAGAGCATTGATCGGCACGGCTGAACGAGTTTATGTTCGGATCTTCGATCTGGTGATATTTTAGTGTTTGCTTTGTGTTTGATAATAAAAAAATTTTTTTTCAGTAAAGATTATGTACGGATCCACCAGGCTCAACATAACGGCAGCTTAAAATACTAAAGCCATGTCAGGGATGGAGAAAGATGGTGGGCTAGCACGTTAGTTTAAGCCAAAAAAAGGAAGTGAAGCACACCTGGTCATTTTGGACAGCATGCATTCGTTGGTCGCGTAACTCTTTGACCACATCAGGAACTGAAAGTGAGTCCGTGTGCTTCAGTCGATCCACGGCCATTGATATTGCGGCAAATGTGCCAGTTCTGCAATTTTTTGGCATTCCCGTCCAATTAATTATACGTTGGGCTGCTAAATGCTGTTGAAAATCTATTACAGAAACTATTCACGAAAGCGCATTGAAATGCGATTTTAGGAAACTGGCCAAAAAATGCGCTACTTAACTATGTTACTTGCATCTAAATCCCGGAGTGAGTTATGATCTTAGAAAATATTTTTCTAGATCAAGCATATTAACAACATTTGAGTCAAGTGCGCAAGAGCCTCCAAAGCTCTTTTAAAGTTACCAGAGCTGAGCAAGAGATGGTCATCGCTTATTTGACAGTTTATCAAAAGAAATTTCTAAACGTGTTTATAAAACATTTCACCCTGAAAAGTTCGGAATAATTTTGTCATTGATTAAAAGATATATAGCAAGACAGATGTTGCGCTTCGCTTGCAAAATAGTTAAAAAAAAAAATGAAAAATCCCAGAAATGATTTTGCAAGAAAGGCAGTAATTTCAAAAGAATCGTAAAAAATTTGTAAGAAAAGTGCTAAAATATGCATGCTATGGATATAGTCAGCAAATTCATCACCTTCCAATACCAGCGCTGCAGTGAATGACGGCAGGCTTCTTTTCACAGAGTTTAAGGGCAAGAGCTCGTACTTCTCGGCATACCGGTGTCGATTCGGCTACAAAATGATCAGGCCAGCCACCGTACAGTAAATGCAATACCTAAAAAACAAGAATATGATTTTTTGCAGTTCTACGTTTGCGAGAAACACGCCATTGTAGAGCTCTACAGACAAATGATAGATCCACATTTACCTCAGCTGCTGAGACGCAAATTCAAAATGTATAATCGTGTTTGGGGGAGAACAGATAAACAAAGTTTTTTGATAATTATTTTCACATGAGGCGAAGGCACTCAGAATTAATTCGAGTAACAATGCATATCAACAAAAGTTACAGGTTCGGTTTTTGATCAAATACATGAACTGAAACTTCGTCATCCAAAACCTCAAGCTTTTATGCTACGTCTGACTTTGGACTTGACGCCAAATGTTGCGATTTTTGAAGATGTCAAAGATCATTTCTGGTGTTTCTATTACGGTCGTAAATTTTGTTTCCTAAATTTTCATCACATCGGATTTCGCAGTTCTGAAGTTAATTTTTATGATAAGGCAAAAAGAAGGAATAAAAATAACACAGTCTTGTCTTAATGCGTTTTTAAAATGAATTAATTACGCCTTTTCCATTTTGCTTTGGTTCGTTCTAGCTACAAAAATATTATCAGAAAATTAAGAGCCGCAGGGATTTAAAGCGCTTTTTATTATCTCATTAAGGCTGCTCAAAAAAGAGAAGATTGACAGGAACATTTATTTAAAATTAGTACGAGCAAACAGTCACGAAATTGCGCACTTCCACTTCTCCCAAAAAATAAAACAGAAGAAAATACGAATACGAGGAGGACTCTCAGAAGTAATACCTCATGATCCTTGTTTTTATATACAGCTCGTATTTTTGTTCGATAAACTTTGCGAAGCTGCTTCATCGGCTCTGTTTTCTCGACAACTTGAACACGGATTGCACCGTACTCCTTCCATTCTTCTTCATCTTTCGGGAAGTACTCCGCACACTGCACTTTGCCATCCTCATTCCACTGACACAGCTGAACGATTACCTACAATGCACCAGGCTCTAAGTCTGATCACAGTAAATGGCCTCACTTCTTTCCTGTTCACAAAAAGTGCAGGATGATATCAGGAGGAAGCTGTGCGGTCAAGCCTTTTTATATGTACGGTATAACGGTGTGGCCATCTGTGGCCAGTTAAAATAGGAATCAAGTGGACTTTTATCACAAATAATGGATTTAACCGTTTTGCCCAAACTGAACTATCTCACATTCTCCCAGAATGATCCCACAATAATTCCATATGTACGCAAAGTAGGAGCAACCAAAGATCTGTTTGGATTGGAGCGGCAACTTTCTGGAGATTGTCTCGACTGGACTGGTGCTATGGTTGGGCTAGTCGAACATTGCAAACAAAGTAAAGGTGACGAACAGGATTCTCATCGGAAAAGTGAGTAAATGCATTTTATAAATTCAAGGGCAGTTTCAGTGGTTCTCAGCAATTGTTTTTTTCGTCGTAGCGCTTGCAGGCACCCTCATTTCCCGAACATATCACCGACTAAGGGAAATTTTGTTATCTCGTATATTTTGGTTAAAAACGTAAACCTATTAGAAAAAAGTCTTAGTTTGCAAATTTTGTCTCGATAGCATTACGTTGATTACGATCATTTCGGATTGATACAAAATCCCGAAAAATAAATTATTCAGCTCCGTCTGCTAGTTATTTATGCACGGTTAAACAGATGAGCAGGAAATATTAACAGATCCATCAAAAAGTGCTCGGCAAATGGTGCGCAAAACTAACTTTTGAATCTTCCTGTATAACCATGAACCAGAAATCCTCGATGGTATTTACCAAAGGGCCTTGCGCACAAATGAAATTGAGGTGGTCGCTGATTTTCACATAAGATGCGTGGTAGTAGTCATCACCTAAAAATAATTTAATTTTTTTACCTAATAAAAACGTTTTGCTGTAAAAAAGAGCGCAGATTGCTTTGAAAGCCTACTATTTCTTAAAAATTGTCTTTCGTAAATCTTTTTTTATCCGCAGCTTTTTTATCATCGAACGCTATGGGCTTTTTTTCATGAAGAACCACAGATGCGAGCTTATCTTATATGCCAAAACATAAGTTTTCATCGGCTAAGTTCAAAGTCACAAACATCCGCCTTTTTTAACATTCTTACCACTTGAAGTGTTTCTCAAGATGACTCTTGTTTTGTCGAGCAGTTTGATATCCTCAAACCTAAAATTTACTCATTTCAATAGAAAAAAAAACACGCTTAGAGTGTTTCTTAGGTTGGAAGATCTATTTAAAAAAAAGGTTGTTTGGTTTGCATATCACTGAAGGATCATATCGCCATTTAACCAACTTTTTTTT